GACGGGAGTGTACAAAGAATAAACAGACAGGTGGCGTTACCACCATATTTTGTAAAGCAATCAAAGAAACCGAATGAAGTAGAACAATCGCGTGCTTTGACTAGACTACATGTTTAATACAGACAGAATTATATTTTAGTTTCGTCCATTGCGAATTGCGTGAAAAAAAAGTGTATATTATATTCGTTGGATTCATTAATTCTGTTGTGATTGTGATACAAGTGAGCCGAAATTGGTGCCTTATTTTTGTTTTGTTTTTTGTGATTACCCCTGTGATGTCCCTATATATGGACCAATATATCAGCAACAAATAATTGGTTACATCGTGTGTTTTATTTTACCCTATTGTATGTACCTAAGAAAATTTATTAGAAACTTAAAAAGTCGTATATAATTACATAATTTATATATTAAACATGGCTGTAACTGTAGTTTGTTATTTATAAAACTTGTCGGCCTTTTGTCTTGTCGGCCTTTTGTCTTGTCGGTCTTTTGTATGTCGGCCTTTTGTCTTGTCGGCCTTTTGGATGTCTGCCTTTTGGCAGTCGGCTTTTTGTCTTGTCGGCCTTTTGTCTTGTCGGCCTTTTGTCTTGTCGGTCTTTTGTATGTCGGCCTTTTGTCTTGTCGGCCTTTTGGATGCCGGCCTTTTGGCAGTCGGCCTTTTGTCTTGTCGGCCTTTTGTCCGTGTCGGCCTTTTGTCCATGTCGGCCTTTTGTCCGGATCCCCTACTTCCTGTCAACGGAAATTACTCAAAATTTTATAAAAGGCAGAAAATTAGATCTTTTACTTACATGTGAAATTTCATTTATCTATCTGAAATAGTACTCAAGTTATAGGCTTTTGAAAAATTGAAAGTAGAAAAAGTTCCACTTCCGGTTATTGGAAATCGCTCAAATGTTGACAGGGATCTACGATTTTGATAAAATACCTATAAATGAAATTTCATCAACCTAGCTGTAACGGTACTCAAGTTATCGTGTTTACAGACACACACACACACATACACACACACAGACATACGTACAAGATTGCAAAATTATGTTTTTCCGACTCAAGGAGGTGTAAAACGTCGAGATTTGCAAAAATCTCGATTTTTTTTTTTGTTTTTTTTTTGCGCGCGATTACAATACATTCTCTATACTCTGTATACGAGAAAGTAAAAACATGATTCTAAATACTGAGCACTGTTAGCGGCTAGTTTACGTTAAGGTTCATATGACAGAGCATGTCTATTGAAATGTTCTTTTACTAAAGACTTAAGCTTAGGGTTGTTTTTTTTCCTGAAGGACTAACTTCTGCTCCTGGCCTTTTGAAATTCTAATAGGTAAACAAGATAGGGTTAGGGTTAGGATGTCAGCCAAATTTGAAGTTGTCATTGGGTTAGGGTTAGGGTATCAGCCAAATTTTTCATAATTGGTGAAAGGCAAGCCGGCGCAGCCACACAGCACTTGTGGGAGGGAGACGTTACATAAGGACACCTGCACTCCGCACGACTTCTCTCCGGCCCTCGGGGGGTCGGCGTGGTCACACGGTGGGGGAGAGGCGTTACACACAAAGATGAAACCAGATCGGGCCACATTGTTTCTAAAGAGAGGCCCATTGTTGTCATGCTCTCTGGTTGCTTGTAATCCCTTTAGGCGTCCTGTATCTTCCTTAACCCTAACTCAAACTACAACCCAAACTTTAACCCTAATCATAACTATCTTCAGAAGGAAAAGTATCAGAAAACATAACCTCAACACGTCTTCAGAAAACATGATTTCCCCCCCCCCCCCCCTCCCCTCACCCCAACACCAGAAAACATGCCCCCCTCACCCCATCATCAGAAAATATTACCCCCAGTTATGAGAGACTATGACACCCCCCCCCCCCCCCCACACACACACACACACAAACACCAACCCTCTACCTTGCAGAAATACTAGATTTCAGTGTGAAGTTAATGAACTGTTTTACTTGCCTGTTCTTCAATGTCAGAAGATTCGAAGAATCAAATGCACAAACCAGTTACGTTTTACCAAAAATTAATTTGTTGTATTTGTTTAAATTGTATCAAACTAATTAGCAGTCAATTGGTATGGATTCCTTTAAAAAAATTAAAATTCCATTTTTTTTTCTCAATGATGTCTATCTAACATGTACTTAACAGAGGCGTAGCTAGGGGAGGGCGGGGAGGGCGGCCGCCCGGGCGCCAACCCTAAGGGGGCGCCAAAAGGGGTAGAAAAAAATTAAAAGCTCATTTTAAGCTGTAGTTTTGAATTATAAACAGTCAAAGTAAAGAAATTTAACGGCTGAGAGCCTTTGCATACTGATTTAACTGTGTAACTGTAAAACGTATATCTTTAAGAAACAGTGACCGGAAAAACCGCTTTCCAGCTTTCCTAGACGGGGAGGGGGGGGGGCGCTTTTTCGAAGACTAAAATAGAAAAAATTTACACCGGATTAAGGAATAAATAACCGATATCACTCAGAAAAGAAACCCATTGAACTAAAGCATATTTTACGATTGTATAACATAAAAAGAGTTAGTGGCGTTTAAAATCCGCTCTACCATTTTTGTCCAAGAGGGTGGGGCGCTTTTTCACTAACAAAAATCGCAGGATTTGTACTGGATCGGTTGCTATATAACTCTTTTAACACTTAGAAAAGAAATCCACTGTAATAACACTTAATGTACGATTTCACTACCCAGTTTTGCTAAGTAATAACGCGACTAGTTCTTTGCAGTGTTTCTTCAAGACTTTTTTCCCCCGAGGGGGGGGGGGGGGGGCACTAGAAATTTTCGGGGGGACGTTAGACTTTCTTATAAATTATATAAATTTCATTTCGTTCGGGGGGGGTAGAATTTTTTCGGGGGGGGGGGGGGGGCTTTGCCGAATAGATGCCTGGAAGAAACTCTGGTTCTTTGTACGATTTTTTACGATTCTCTCAACTTGATCGTGATAGATCAGATGCTTTACTTGATTGCATTACATCTTGCCTGGATCACTGCATTAAAGAGAAATAAATATAACGGATTCTTGTCTCGCTATCCGATCAGTAAAATAGCAGATTGACGGAGCGGGTGGATGGGAAGCAACACTCTTTGCCAAAATTTTAAGAGAGAAGAAAATTAGTATATTGTACTGATTATTACTTTGTTCAACCTAACTGATAATTCAAAGTTGCAATACTGGCCTACAATAATCGAAATTGTTCTAAAGACACGCCCAAAGGAGACCAAATAAGGCTTGCACCTTCTACAAAATACACTCTTAAGCAGTGGTTCTTAATTTTTTTGGAGAACCGAACCCCACCAGTTTCATACGCGCAATCACCGAACCCTTCTAAATAGTTGAATCGTCCACAATGACAAATCCGATCGTGAATCCTATGAGTCGGGCGTGTGTCTTGACCTCCGCGGAAGCCCTAAGACTGAATTACCGAACCTCTCGGGTTCGATGGAGCCCACTGTTCTAAGCTCTTTTGATTTTCTACTTTTTATTCGTTTCTGCATCTTAAGGGGAATTTAATTTACTTTAATCTATTGAAGTTTTAGGGAACGACAATCAGCGTAATTGTTAATTTTTTTCCAGACTGTCGCACACACAAACACACACGCATATATATATATATATATATATATATATATATATATATATATATATATATATATATATATATATATATATATATATATATATATATATATATATATATATATATATATATATATATATATGGGGGACGCCAAGCTAAAAGATCGCCCCGGGCGCCGGGAGGGGTCGCTACACCTCTGGTACTTAATGGTATAATTACATGAAATAAACACGTTGAAAACATGATATTCATTTTGTATCTAGAAAACTGGGTCAAGCGACCTGGTGATCATACTGTAGATAATGTATTAGATGTAACCTTAGGTCTGGTCTATCCAAGTTTGATTTCCACTTTTGTAACTTTTTGAAATTGTCAACCCAAAACTTTATAGCACGCACCCAAACCATTGATGATAATGTATCATGCAATTAGACGGTTTTATATATAACTATGGTATAGTTGTGGTGTAGTTGTGGTGTAGTTGTGGTGTAGTTGTGGTGTAGTTGTGGTGTAGTTGTGGTGTAGTTGTGGTGTAGTTGTGGTGTAGTTGTGGTGTAGTTGTGGTGTAGTTGTGGTGTAGTTGTGGTGTAGTTGTGGTGTAGGTGTGGTGTAGTTGTGGTGTAGTTGTGGTGTAGTTGTGGTGTAGCTGTGGTGTAGCTGTGGTGTAGTTGTGGTGTAGTTGTCGTGTAGTTGTCGTGTAGTTGTGGTGTAGCTGTGGTGTAGTTGTCGTGTAGTTGTGGTGTAGTTGTGGTGTAGTTGTCGTGTAGTTGTGGTGTAGTTATGGTGTAGTTGAGGTAGGCCTACTAGTGTAAAACAAGTTCTAGGCTTGTGTTTGTAAAAACGTTCTTTTGGATTGTTCTACCTGGATAAAAAAGTGTCTGCTATTTAAAAGATAAAGACGAAACAACAAAAAAAAAAAACTTGACAGCAATGGAGGCAACTCCTCTCTGTAATATTATCGTCTACAAGCGCCTAAGGCACAGTCCTATCGAGTGCTACTTTTGTTAATCCGATATTAAAGGATTCGGGGCTGTTCTGTCTAGCACACGTTGATACGTAAAGTTTTGGAATAAATTACACATTTGAATTTTGAATAGAGCTGGGCTATCCGTCAGAAGGTGTTTTAACTGGGTAATTCAACACACACGCAACATACACACACACTGTAACTGGTTTTGAAAATTCAACACACATACACTCATCCAGGAGAGTAATGGAGATATAATGGGTAGGGGGGGTGAAGGTGTTTTTATGAATCTTGTGTTGTGGGTTTGTAGTGGGGGGGGGGTAATCAAATCTAATAAGGAACATCGGAGTGGTTTAACGAATGTTGAAGGAATTGTTTACCGAATGTTGATGGCATTGTTTACCGAATGTTGATGGCATTGTTTACCGAATGTTGATAAAATTGTGTAACTCACCTCTATCGGGGAAGCTCCTGATGACGTTGGAATTGTATGGTCCACTGGAGCGTGTCAGTCCACCCGTGTCGGTCAAGGCCGAGTATAAGTCCTGCATGTACTGGGGTGGAGTCAGGTGAGACAAGTGTTTGGGGATGCGGGAGAAACCGAAAACTTTGATGAGTTTGGCTAGAACATCTGGCCGTGCGATGGACTCCTCGCTTTCAGTAGACGCCATGGTTCGTCCCGTCCAGGGGCCGTCCATCGACCGTCCTGGGGCCGCACTGCACAGAGTTAGCCAAAGCTGCAGTGCTAGAAGCAGGCGCAAAAAGTTCCAGAATGTTCTAGTCCGGCATGCGATGAGTCCCATGGTTATGTGCCTCACCTCATCCTACAGCCACCAACCGTCAAACCGGCAGATTCAGTCGCCACCAACCGTCAAACCGGCAGATTCAGTCGCCTCCAACCGTCAAACCGGCAGATTCAGTCGCCTCCAACCGTGTAACCGGCAGATTCAGTCGCCTCCAACCGTCAAACCGGCAGATTCAGTCGCCTCCAACCGTGTAACCGGCAGATTCAGTCGCCTCCAACCGTGTAACCGGCAGATTCAGTCGCCACCAACCGTGTAACCGGCAGTTCAGGCGCCACCAACCGGCTGATTTAGTCAGTGAACAATCATGGCTTGAATATCCTGACCATGGCAGCCTTAGTGAGTCAGGCAGTCGATAAACTGACGCACACACACACACACGAATCCGAAACAACAAAACACAAATTGCGTCTTTCCAAATGGAAGAGAGATGAGCACAAGATGTGCAGGTAGAATCTCTTAAGGCAGCTGGAGGTAGCAATGTGTTTGTTGTCATACCGCATGCATGACACATGAGCTCACCTGAGGCCCCAAGCTAATCAATACCTGCCGTGCTCGACACAATCGCAAATTGACAACACTCCTGTAACTCTGGAACTCACTCCCAGTAGTACTTGTCCACTCACGAATATTCCACCTTACATTCCCGACTGAGTGAAATGACTTGCTCCACCGTTTCCCTGCACGTGGAATCCAACGGTCGGATTGTTGAAATTGTTGAGGGCGAACACACCTGACGGTTGTAGTCAAGTGCCGCCAACTCGGGTCTCCTATTCAATACCAAACTCAGTCGAGCATGGCGCTGGCTCCAACAATAAGTAGCAGGTAAAAACAATCCCCGGGGAAAGGACGGGTGTGGGGAGGTGGGGGAGGGAGAGGATAAAACCGGCTGATTGTCGTGGGCCCAACTTGTTGAATGGGGGCGGGGCAGTCACTAGAACACGCCTCCTTTGATAGCAACACCTGTGATCCCCCGGGGCATACGGGCTGACACTACAACACGGACCATCAAGCAGCTATTGACAAACTCTTCGTGGCGGGCCGCCCGCACATTTCTAATATTGATATCATCCTAGACGGGCCGCTACATTCGCACATTTCTAATATTGATATCATCCTAGACGGGCCGCTACATTCGCACATTTCTAATATTGATATCATCCTAGACGGGCCGCTACATTCGCACATTTCTAATATTGATATCATCCTAGACGGGCCGCTACATTCGCACATTTCTAATATTGATATCATCCTAGACGGGCCGCTACATTCGCACATTTCTAATATTGATATCATCCTAGACAGGCCGCCCGCACATTTCTAATATTGATATCATCCTAGACGGGCCGCTACATTCGCACATTTCTAATATTGATATCATCCTAGACAGGCCGCCCGCACATTTCTAATATTGATATCATCCTAGACGGGCCGCTACATTCGCACATTTCTAATATTGATATCATCCTAGACGGGCCGCTACATTCGCACATTTCTAATATTGATATCTAATTTCATAAACCGGGAGTGATCTCCCATAAACTTTCTCGAATATTCTTATATAACATTTCGGGGGATGGCAACTCGGGATATAGACATGATGTTTACAAATTTTTACTTAACTTGCTTCCTCTGTTTGTCGTCAGTCGTTAGTTTATCTGTCTAGATCGAAACGCCCGAGCGAAATTTCGGACACTTCTATCTGACAGATTTTTTCAACGTTGGCACGTGGGTCAAGACATAAAGACAATGCAACATGACATTAAATTTGACTAAATTGGTTGCCTGATTAAATTTTTTTATAAATTAATTAAAACTGTGTCAAAATTAGTAGGCTGTCTAATTAAACTATTCCGCACTATGAGACACGCGTCATCACGTTCATTAAGTGCGCATGGTTTTTAGTCATGCAACTCTATTATAAATTTTTAAAATTTAAAGTACTGAAAAAAATTCATAAAAAACGTTTTAATAACAAGCTCTTATGTAATAATGCATAAAAAGTAGAAAATAAATTATACACTACTATTTAAATAACTATAAAGAAAAGCGTGGGTCTCTTCCTAAATATTAAATAAGGTATACAATAGATACTAAAGTAACCCACGCTTTTCTTTATGGTTATTTAAATAGTAGTGTATAATTTATCTTCTACTTTTTAGTGCATTATCACATAAAAGCTTGTTATTAAAACGTTTTTTATGAAATTTTTAAAGCAATTTTTAATTACCTAATTTTTTTAAACAGAATATAATCTCGTAAAAAAGAATTGCGCACCAACTGAACGCCAAACGATCTGTGTATAATAGTGCGGAATATTATTAGTACTTTATACATTCATAAGCGGTTTTTAAGAAATAGGAAATAGCGTAAATTACTACTTCCAGTCAACGGAAATTACTCAAAATTTAACAGAAGGCAAAAATTACATCTTTTACTTATATATTGAAATTTATAAGTCCCACTTCCAATTATCCGAAATCGCTGAAAAGTTATTACGGATCTACAAATTTGATATAATACTTATATGTGAAATTTCATCAACCTAGCTGTAACGGTACTCAAGTTATCGTGTTCACAGACATACACTTACACACACTCAGACATACGGACAGAATTGCAAAGCCCAGTTTTTCCGACTCGATTACGCATAGAACACCAAAATTTTGATATATCTGCATTAACTATTTTTGCCCGATGAAAATAAGTCCCCTGTACTCCGTATATGATGTAGTACTGAGGTGTAAAACGATGAAAACTGTCAAATGTTCAGGTGATTTTTGTGCACGATTATAATACTTCCTCTATTCTGTATACGAGAAAGTAAAATGTTATGGTCACGATAGACTGAATAGGAAATCTATTTAAAAAAACGCATTTTTTTAAATAAAAGTAATTGACAACTACATACATCTTACTTAGTTAACCCCCCCCCTTTTTTTTCACCCCCCCCCCCCCAAACCCACCATATGACCACTTACCTGGTTACCTCTATAAATATTTTTGTAGCGGTTTTCGATACATGATATGGATAATTGATCATATAGTCACCCAAGCTTAGACAGGCTGTTTCACCAGGCGAATAGAACACGGGTGGCCTCGAGGTGGAGCTGCATCTCGAAAGTCCCTGAGTCCACCTAACCTTGATGCGTATCTGCACACGGTAGGGAGAGTAATGGCGGCTGGGCATAGTGCTGACCACATTATCCATTCATATGCCGAAGTCAAAAACAATTTAACTCTACTTCGCTGCAAAATGGATCGGTATGTTTGAAGAGGAATCTTTCCGTTTTCTTTGGTGGCCGGAAAGAACCGCAACGGAAAAAAGCGCAACGGAAAAAAGCGCAAAACAAAAAGCTCAACGGAAAAAAGCGCACACGGAAAATAGCGCAAAGAGAAAAAAGCGCACACAGAAAAAAGCGCAAAGAGAAAAAAGCGCAAAGAGAAAAAAGCGCAAAGAGAAAAAAGCGCACACAGAAAAAAGCGCAAAGAGAAAAAAGCGCACACAGAAAAAAGCGCAAAGAGAAAAAAGCGCACACAGAAAAAAGCGCAAAGAGAAAAAAGCGCAAACGGAAAAAAGCGCAAAGAGAAAAAAGCGCACACGGAAAAAGCGCAAACGGAAAAAAGCGCAAACGGAAAAAGCGCAAACAGAAAAAAGCGCAAACGGAAAAAAGCGCAAAGAGAAAAAAGCGCACACAGAAAAAAGCGCAAACAGAAAAAAGCGCAAACGGAAAAAAGCGCACACAGAAAAAAAGCGCAAACGGAAAAGAAAGGCAAACTGAAAAAAGCGCAACGACAAACAGCGCAACGGAAAAAAGCGCAAAAAAGGAAAAAAAACGCAAACAGAAAAAAGCACACACAGAAAACTGTGCACACCGAAAAATGCACAAAGAGCCATTTTCGCACAAAGACCTATAAGGACTAGATGACACATTTATACATGATTGTTAGGGCTGTTGTGAGAGTGTTGTGTTTGACCTGACGCGATATACTACCACTTAAAGCATACCACTACCATGTGCATTCACATCACCACGATACAGGCGATAATCGCTTGACACAACGTCTATTTTTTTTCTTGTTCACTATTTATTCAACGACTATTCTCGAATAAATAAACATAAAACTATCCTTCATATTGGCATTACACGGAGTATCTCGTACATGCTCCCTAGTCCCAAGCTTGCATTCTATAACAACCCGTTTCTATCGCAAAACTTCACTCTCTTTCTTCCGAGTCATCAAACATGCATTCGCTATATCTCTCGCACCAACATTCATTCGCACAAAAATACCCTGATAAAACACACATCATAATCATTATGTATTACACTTTATGTGTAAATATGGAACTTTGAGCAAAAACAAACGCAAACATAAACGCAAACGGAAATATAAACAAACCAGTAAATGCAAACATAATAAAAAAAAAGCAAACTCATACATAAACTTAATCGGAAAAACAAACAGGAACGTAAACGCAAACTTAAACGCAAACTCAAACGGAAACGTAAACACTAAAATAAACGAAAACATAAACATACACGCAAACTCAAACGCAAAAAATAACGCAAAAATATAACGGAAATACAAACCTAAATGAAAAACAAATATACACCGGGAGTGGTCTCCCCTAAACTTTCTCGGATATTCTAATATAAAACTACGAGGGATGGCAACTCAGGACATAGACAATATTTGTAATCCATTTTTAATTACTTAAACTTTTTATAATAGAATGGAATCTCGTAAAAAAATGAATTGCACACTAAGTGAACGCCTAATAAAATGTGCATAATAGTGCGCAATATTATTAGTACTTTATAAATTTACGTGCGTTTTTTGAGAAATCGGAAATAGCGTAAATTAATACTTCCGGTCAATGGAAATTACTCAAAATTTGACAGAAGGTAGAGAATTAGATTTTTTACTTACATGTGAAATTTCATTTATCTATCTGAAATAGTACTCAAGTTTAGGGTTTTGAAAAATTCAAAGTAGAAAAAGTACCACTTCCGGTTATTGGAAACCGCTCAAAAGTTGATATGGATCTACGATTTTGATAAAATACTTATATATGAAATTTCATCAACCTAGCTGTAACGGTACTTAAGTAATCGTGTTTACACAGACACACACACACACACACACAGACACACACAGACACACACACACAGAAACACAGACATACGGACAAGATTGCAAAATTATGTTTTTCCGTATCAGCGAGGTGTAAAACGTCGAGATTTCTAAAAATCTCGATTTTTTTTTTGCACGATCTGTACTTCGTATATACGAGAAAGTAAAAAGCAAATATGAACACAAAAATGAAGGCATAAAATAATGATGACATAAACGCGAACATAACATCATCATCATCATTATCATTCCTTTGTGGCCCCTGGGGACCAAAGGGCTGCAACCACAAATCTCCTTTGGACTCGGTTTTGGGCTGCCTCCTTTATCTGTGCCCATGTGAGCCCAGCTGTTTTCGCCCCTTCAACCGTTCTTCTCCATGTCTTCCTTGACCGGCCCATCCTCCTTTTTCCCTGGGGATTCCAGTCTAAAGCATGCCTTGCGATGTTTTCTTTTTCCTTTCTTAATGTGTGACCGATCCATCCCCATTTTCGGGCCTTGACATCTGTCTCTATTGGCTGTTGCTTTAAAGTTCGCCACAGGTCTTTGTTTGATATTTTGTCTGGCCATCTTATTTTAAGTATATGTCGTAAGCATTTGTTTACGAATGCCTTTAGCTTATCAGTATT